GTGGTGTGATGGTTGGCCAATGGGGAAGGGAGAACAATCAAGGGTCAGCAGTGTGGAACATAGAAAAAACCCACACAGAACACACACTGGGTCTCAGGGTGAAGGTGGAGAGGGTGTGTGGAAACCAGCTTCCTCGCCATGTGTTCTGCTCTGTAAGAGGAGTAAGAGTAAGGAAGGGTTAGAGTAGGAGTAAGATGAGTAAGAGGAGTGTGGTGAAACACGGTGCATTACTTGTGCAAGTCGGCACTGCCTCGCGGCTCCTGGGCCTGGTGTCTGATGTCTGTCTCTGAGTTTGCACAACTGCAGGTTAGCGTGCGTGCCTCACTCATCTCAGGCCAGGTGGCCGGCGCCTGTCTGTGGGGAGTTTGCATGCTCTCCTTCCATGCTGGCTTCTCCTAGGTTCCCCCTTGTGTGCCCTCCTAAAGCCACGGCGACCAAGTTCGACCGGCTGTTTCCGAGTCGTCCACCCACCTCTGGACTGGGTGGAACGTGCCATTACCAGGTTTTCTATAAATGGGAATATTTAAACCGGGGGATGCAGGAGTTTTGCTGTTAATGCCGACAACTGCGGACACCTTCTTTAATCTATCTGCAACTTTTAGCGCTCTCCCGCTGACTCAGATCGGATTGAAACATTCGGGATGGGGAAACGAGGATGACCGTACCTTAGACAACCTCTCCCCCTCAGCTGCCTGTGGTCTCCCTGCCTCCTGAAAGTGCTCCATTCACAACACACAAGGCGAGCCTGCTAGTTATCGGAGCATCGCACATGTTTCTAATACTATAATCATTTAAGACACTCCCAATTCGTAAAGCCCATAATAACTGGAAAATCATCATTCAAAACACAGACAAAATGCTCTCCTTTACAATCGATCACAGTCCACATGCCAGTGGGCACAGGAATTAGCCAGGAATTCTGGGTGCCCAGGTACCCCAAAAGTAGAAGTCAGCCAGATTCAGCTCAGACAGCAGAGTTGTGCGCAAAAGTGGACCGGGGTACCTATCAAGAAGAACTACAGCGCCACACGTCAGGTGCATAAAAGTGGTGATGTCTCTCGGATATCACTCTTCCTGAGAACACGACTTCTCACTAGCATCCCTGCTCGTAACGTTTCACAACAGACTCTCTGAGCTCTTTCTGTACACCCCTTGAAGACGGCCATCTTGATCGGCTTTTGAAAACAAAACCCCCTTCCCATCGTTATTTTAGCTGCGCAAAAGATCTGCGCTCCAAACTTCATACATCACAAACGTTCTGAATGCTCACAAGTGTCAGGAGGCCATCCCATAGATTTATACAATGCAATACATGCGGGCAGTAAATGTGTATATACTGTACTGCATGTCAACACACCGTATACACATCAGCGCGGAGTGACTGTAATAAACATTTGTGATCACAGCTCCCTCTTGTGTAAACACGAAGACAATGTAGGGAATGTATGCAGGGAAATAGCTTGAGAGTCAAGTCTGAATTCTGTTCACGTTTTGCTTCTAATTTTGTTTTTAAAACTTTAGATCACCCCACATTGCCATGTCAGGGCAAAGAGAAGATAACATGGAACTGAATTACAGCTTGGTGGCAGATAGGGCTTTATTCTGGGGTCCCGGCGTACAATCGGCATGGAGTTTGCACGTTCAGGGGCTTTCGCACGGGATCGTTTCTGACCTTTCAGGCATCAAAGGAGCACTCAGCATCTCCTTCCGCGACAGCGGTGACGCACTCCAAGGGCGATGCGTTTCTACGCACAGGGACTAAAGAAACAAAGCCGCGCCGTTGTTTGTGAAAAGCCTTGCGCAACGCCGCAGGAAGGGCGCTATATGCGTCTGGCGCACGTGTACCGGAGGAGGAACGCACGAGGGCTGGAAAAAGACCCACTCAGCCGCGGTTTTGAGCAGCTCTGGGAGGGAGCACAGGGAGGGCTGTGTTTGGCAAACACTGATTATCTAAGGCAGAGTGTGTGGTCAGTGTGGTGCCTGTTGCCGTGCTGTGACTCAGCGCGTTTTCCTTCAGAGACACGCAGCCGTCTGTTTAAGAACCGCCGGCTTATCTTAGCGCAGGCCTCCACACCCCCTGTTGCCCACAGGGCAGCTCTTGCAATTATCGAAGGTGGATATTTTTAGGCCCAGGTTCAGAGGCATGTCTCCTCCCACATTCCAGGGGAAAACAAAAGGACCAAAACTTGAAAGGGCCTCGTCTCAGGTCCCTGGAGTCACATGGCTCTGCCGCTGACTCAGATGGGGTTGAAAAGGCCCAGATCTGGGCAGATCAGACACTTCCAGTTCCGTTCTTTAATCCTTTGTCTCCGGCCCAGTTCAATGCACAAGGGGTGTGGCGGGGTAGGGTAGCAGTATCTCCCAGGACCCACCTGTTTTAATGTTTAACATTAAGCACTTTTCTGGACACCCCCGTCAGAGCTCTTTACAGGTCGTGGGGATCCCCTCCACCACCACCACCAGTGTGCAGC